TAACTGCGACACTGATCATTCATCTCTAAATAAACTTTATTTTATATAGCGTTTTAAGCGAATAGGTAATTAGATTGCTCATAAACCTAATCGCTTTTTCTACATAAACACAGCGTGATTGCTCTCTGAAAATGCCTTTTGTTTTACTTCAACGTGTCTGTACCGCGCACTTTGAATGGCTGCATCTGTACTGTAATAGCCTTAGAAAGAGTTCAAAGAAGGGCAACAAAAATGATTTCTGGTCTCAGGAGACCGTCTTATACAGACAAGTTGAAGGAGATACTGTAAATGTCTTTGGTCTCTAACAAAGGAGATTCTGATCCTTGCATACAAAATCCTAAGGAGTAGACAGGTTCAACCCAGGGGAACAATTTCACACGCATAAGTGAAACATGGGTACTTGGTCACAATATAAAACTTAAGGTTTCCTTTAGGACAGAAAAAACACCTCCTTAATTTACTTTCATAAGTAACCTGGTTGGGAAGGCTCAAACGCGAGGCACATTTATGAAACAGCTGGTAAAAAATGTATATTCACTTGGCTATTAAACTACTAAATAAGCCAAATGGAATTAACAGTTCCCTCTCATTTGCAGACATTCCCTCTCATTTGTAATATTAATAAGGCTAATTTACTTGTTAAGCAAGGAATTTAAAAGTTATTTATTACCAGAGAACTTACTAATAGGACTAAGAAAGCTCACTGCAGGGTACTTACCCACCACGGCCTTAGCAGTGCCTTCGTGGAATGACCACGCCAGCGCCAACGCCTCCACAAACTTCTCTTGCTTCAGCAAGTAATCCACTCGCTGCAATAAAGCAATACCAATTGTCATTCCAGCATGGTAAGTGCATTTACAGAAAATGTTATTCGAATGTTTTGTGACAAATCCATCATGTAGCTCAAACCAGGTAACCTATCCACCCATCTAGAATAAATTGAAATCTTCAACACAAGGTAACATTGTGCACCAAGATCTAAATCTGCACTTTTTTCAGTTAAGAACATATGACGATGTTTTTTAATTTATCATGCATATAAAGACAATATATAAGCCTGTATCATGTATCACCTAGGCATGGACATATATAGGAGGACCTTTATACACGCAGCTGTAAAAACTTGGCAAGTTTTTATAAGTTTTTAATTTGACTCACATTAATTTCAAACATAAAGGTAACCAGGTGGATAATAATTAATGTTATGACTAAAAAAAAGAAAGTAATTTCTTTCTAAGAACATTATCTGTAATGTATTATATATTGATAATTTACAGGTAGGAGACAGAAAATGGAAACATGCATGCTTAGGATCACATATAAATGTGCTGGACTGTCCTGGTTGCCTATAATGATGGTTTCCATGGCTAGGAGCCCTCGGTGACTTTGAAAAGGGGTGACTGTTCAAAGGCTTATATATTATCTTTATATGCATGATAAATTGAATTAGGAATTCGGCATTAACTTACAAGAGCAACAGTGTCTAAAGTGAAGTCAGCTTCATGACAGAAGCACAAACTTCAGGACTGTGTTAATCACACATTTATTTAAAGTGGAAGGCAAACCAGGCATGCAAATGCAGATAAATTCCAGATCAAAGACATATCATCTACTGAAAACTCTAAAAAGTAGTATACAAACTGCTCACTTGGCAATACATGTTTTTCCAACCAAAGAACATGGGCAGTGGACTACAGAGCAGTGGGAAAATGTGATGTGGTCAGATGAATCATGCTTCACCAGTGTTACTTCTAACACTGAAGGGTTATGATGGCTCTGTTACATTGATGGTGCAAGCATTCATTTAGAAATCAAGGCCTATGCTAATTGTTACTTAATAACACAGTGATCACTTTCCTGGAAAGGTGTCTTGCAGGATGACACTAAAGCCCCCACTAAAGATCACATGTGGACACCGAAAGGCTTGATGAGCATGTTACTGATGTTATCCATATGCCATAGACTTCTCAGTCACCTGATCTGAACCAAACTGAGCATTTACAGGATATTCTGGAATGATGCCTGAGATAGCGTTTTCCACTTCTATCAACCAGGCACAAGTCAATTGACTTTCTCAAGGAAGAATGGCTCCATATCGTTTCTGCAGAATTGCAGACACTGGTAGACTCTATGCCACAGCACGTACAGGCCACACTGGATGCACATAATGGACCAACACCTGATTAAGTGACTTTACCTTGGTGTTTCCATTTTTGTCTATTACTTATATAGTATTTTCTATTACTTTATATGGTATCTTTCTCTGCCAATAACTGCTCCACAAAAGCACAAAGTGAGTGTATAAAGAAATTATTTTAGAAGGGAACACTTTGTAATTAAAACAAATGTTAGATACATAGCTTTACTACGTGATATATGTATATAATTCCTGGGAAGTACATGACTATTACATCATATGCATATTGAAAAAAAACACTAAAAACTCCTATTCAATTATATTTCCATTCCCTGCAGGCAAGAAGTCCTCTAACAAAAAAAAAAGTAGGCAAAGCCTCCAAAAATATATTTCTACTGTATAAACTTCTATACGTACAGTATATATAGTTTATACAAAGTTATGAAAAAGTTAAAGCACTGCAAATTTTGAAGGAGAAATCAACTGTGTTAAAGGTAGCAAATAACAACAGCCCGATAAAGTACAGCATACTTTACTGCAACAAAGACTGTAATCCTGTCACGTAAGGTTATCTTACCTCTCTCCAGCTTCTCAGAGACAAAATATGAACTGACTGTGGAGAAAAAAAAGAATATTAGCTTACCATTACAACATTATTGCTTTCAAAACAGAAAAGTTGCACCAAAATATGTTTTGTTCTTTACAATTAAGACATCTCCCCAAGTGGTATGGAATGTGATAGCCTGAAATTCAACTATGTTGCCTTAATAAAAAATGAACCTTTCTTTTTTTTGGAAAAAAAAAGGGAGATATTTTTACGGCAAGATGAAGCAATCAATTAACTCTGTATTAGTTTAAGAGTCACTTCCTTTTGAGTTCAAAATTAATTGCACATTTTTTAATCCATGATTTGCTGTTTCGCATGACAAGCAAAAATGTCAAAGCGTGTGCAGAACTCTACAGAGCACGTAATGAAACTGTTTGAAAATAGCTTTAAGACTGACAGTTGTTGCTCATTAAAGCACTGATAAGCATTAATTATAAAAGTCACTCAATACACCCCTACTGCGTTTAATAGGGCAGCTCCTTCTTCCCTTTGGAACTGAAATGTGGATTGACTGAATTGATTGAATATTGGCATGAAGCATCTCTGTGTTTAGTGTTTTTTGTTTTCAAAATAGAAACTAACACACTGTAGTACATCATTTTAGTAGACTTTTAGTTGGATTTTCTCTTTGCATTTATCAGTAACCATAAAAAGGATGCTCTTAAAATTCTGACCTCCTTAAGGCACCACCTTATTGTCAATTGCCAAGAAACTACACAGGAATGTAGTTTAATTTCAGAAAACACATTTCAAAACAGTTTAAATTGAGGCATTTTTTTCATTATTGTTATAGCTTTCAGAGATGGATCCAGTGAAGTAGAAAGCTGTGGCCAAACTCTATACAAGCAATAAAATTATAAATATGGAGAAAGCCTCTTGAAATGGGAAAATCACTTCCTCTGGGATTTGTAGCACGCTGTTTGACACCATGTAATATATGCCTTTATGAGCTATTCTATGACTGATACAAGCTAGAACCATAAATGTGCCATATCAAAAACTAGAAACATTTCTAATCAACTTGCACAGATTTCATTTTTTTACAAAGAAACCACCTGATTAAAATGTATACCTTTCATGTTCTGTTACCTCAGCCATCTTAAGTATGATTCCCCCTAGCTTAGTGCTGAGTGAACAGTTGTTCATATTTGTTAGCTTCAATTAAGTGTCTCTTGTGAACCGATACTGATTTATTCCAAGCAATAAAAAAGGTCACATTCCTGTAGAATTGTAATGTGTATGTTGCAACCAAAAATATTTTGCAAAGTAAAGAACATGTTCCAGATAACCCAGATTACTTGGTAATGATACTGCATTCATCATATACGCCAGTGTCAGCGGTGAAAATAATCAGGGTGCACACTATGCCAACAAGTATACAAATTCAAAACGAAATCACAGATCACTAAAATATTTTAACTTTTCCTAGCACAAAAATAAACTACACTTATTACTTTTATACAAATATTCTTCACACTTGAACTGATTTGTGAAGATGTTTACTATACTTGTTTATGACAACTGGTGTTGTTGCCATACATAAATAACAGTGTCTTAGTGTGAAGAATGTAATGGGAGCACATTCTCTGCAAATGCTCTGCAAATGTGACATCCCCAGCTCTTACCCCCTTACAAGCCTCGCTCAAACTACTTTCCACTAATGTATCACGTCACAATTTGGTCTACTATTTTTGAGCCACTCAGTTTTGTACCCCTTAGGGGATCCTTCCACCTTCATATCTTACATGGTATCAACTCTCACACACACAACTTTCCTTTTATTCATCACATTATTTCGAGCCTTCTTCTCATGGAATATTAATTCTGACTCACCCAATTTACTCTGCAGCTCACTCTATTTTTCCCCTTTTGAGACCACCAATTATTCTGTCTGCAGCTCTTAGGACAGAGGGTACTTGTGATTCACTCGGTAATGTCTATACTCCTCCTCTCATTTCTGTGATGACAAGATATCATTGCCTTGCCAGGCAATGCCCCACTTTGCCAGATGCTAACAGTCAGCACTGGTCCAGCAACTATTCCTGTTCCTCAGCAGTGCACTATACCATTGTGTCAGAAAATACCTTAACCTTGCAACCTGCCTGTTCATGGCCTGTGATGCACCTCAGAACAGTATTCACTGTATCTTCTTAAAACCACTCCAGCCTGTTGTGTTCCACAGGCCTGTTAACCAGCCCAATCTGTTTCTAGCAAGAACTCGTAGCTGTAAGGCCCTCACTCTCTCACCTTCCCAGAGCCTAGACACAGACAGAATCCCTTTCTCCCCAAACGGTCTTTTAAGCCTCCAGATAAATCAGATGTATGTTGGCAGCTGCAATTTAACTACTGTATTACATAAGTAAATTAAAATCCGAAAGGTTTAAGCAGAATAAAAAGTAAATGCAATTTAATAATTTGACTAAAGTTTCAATTAAGCAGTTAACCTCAGCAGGAAAGAAATCCAGCAGGTATGTGGGCCTCCATGACCAGGATTGGGAAACTCTGTTCTTGACACAATCTGCACAGCCGTCTCTCATTCTGCAGCAATTTTGATTTACCAGACAGTCATCTTGGCTCGAGGCCTCAAGGCCTCACTCTTGGGTTAGGGATTCAAGCCAAGAAAGTGGCTTCCTCACAAAGCCACAGATATTACTCCAGCTCTTCTTAAGGTGAAAACACCATCTGCCGTTTCATACAAATGCAAGCATACCATTTTGGTATCAAAGTCTTAGGAGAATGCTAATAGAATAGAGTGTAAATACATATTATGCCACCCATCATGTGACCAATTAGAATTCTCCATAATAAAGGGGAAAGAATAAGAGGCAGAAATGTGTCACAGAAACAAACACCAAGGTGAAAATGTATGAACAGGGCAGTATTGTGCATCTATAATTCCCTTCTGTCATTACACCAGTTTTGGACCCATTTCATCTTCAGTGAAGGGCTATTAATCTAAAATCAAAGACAGATTTACCAGGGTCTTGGCAAACACTGTTCATCTTTGGAGAAATGTAAGTGGTAAAAGTGCTAAATTTATTTACCTTTGTTCCCAGAAACACTATTTGACCTCCGTAGCTACAGACAGACTGGTAGCATGCTTTCTCTCCAACTAATGCCTGTGAAAGAGAACAGAGAATACTTTTATTAGGACCTAAAATTCATATTCAGACAAATTAAATGTACACGGGAAAAATTAATCCCAGTAGCAACTATCAGTTCAGTTGGCTCAAACATATAATCAGAAATGGACCTGTGTATAAATGAGTATCTCAGATTTAACATTAGATCTTAGATGTAACTGTTATTTAAAGTGGCTTGAAATGTGAAGTGTTTACATCCATTAATAATAATTAAACAAATTCTAAATCCAGGAATGTAAATACACAATTAAAACAAGCTATATGAACATATCAAGTTTAACAACAAACAGACTTTTACATGTACATCAATACTAGGAGCCTGACACCAAATTCCAGGGACATTTTCATGAATACGCATGCACGTGTAAATAAATGTCTACAATGATAAGAAACTAAAAAATGAAATAATAAAAAGACAAACAATACTGGCTTTTATGATCAATAAATATATCCTTAAGAGTCCACTGCTCATAATAGCCCTGCTTAGAAACACACCAAAATGTTACGCTATGGTTTGCCTTTTACTCACCTCTAAAATCGCATGAAATCTGCCTAAAATGTATAACGTCTCTCTTAAGGGCTCAAAAGCTCAATTATGAGGCTGTCTAAGGTTTACAGTTGAAACAACACTGCTCAGCTTCGGTAACTTTGCAATTTCTAGACACATTTTAGTCACTGACTGAGACGGGTTTGCAATAATGCGTTTCAAGCTGGAAAAATGGCCACAGCAAGACAGAGAGAGAAAGACAGAGTTTCATTCTCATCCAATTTCAGGAGCAGATACCAACGTGAAGACACTAAGTAATAGTCAATCAAGCTCAATGTCTCTTTAAATTGGGTATCTGAGAGGTCAGCTTTTCACTCATAACTTTCCATCTACACAACCTGTCTACTGAGGGTGCTGTGACACTCCTGTCCTTTATATTGACCTTCTGTAGTGTACTGAATGACAATAATACGATCTACAGTCATCACACAGTCTCATTATCAGCTTCATTATGAACCCTCTTCACTTTCTCTCAAGAGAAAGTGCCCCGAATCATGTAAAGTGTTCCAGAAACCATGATCTTAAGTACAGAAGTGACCTGATGAAATTCCAACACATAAATGGCAAATAATCCATGACTGGATGTTTCGCATTAAGTTAACTTAAGTAACTTCTCACTTTGTGTCATCAACAGCTATAACATAAATAATTTAGAAGAGAAACAAAACATCCCTTAGATAAGAGATAACCTGATTTCTCATCAGTGTAGATCTCCCTACTATTTTTCTCAAATCCCATACTAGTAAGAAGCAAAGATTTCTAGTAAAACCAGTATTTTCCTTAATTTGTTCATTACCATTTTCTCAAAGCACATTAGAATAGGTCATAGCAAAAAGAAGCCGTATCATTTTTCTGTGTTTTAAGTGACAGTATTGATGTTTGATCAGATTATGTTTATATCATTTTTGGTCTACTGTCAGAGCTTTGGCATGGAGATAAACTGAAATCATTTTCACTGATGAAGTAACTCAACAAGGAGCTTTGGGGGTATTCAAAGGACTGGAAATTGCTTCCCAACTGCTAAATCCTTCTATGAGGAATAAAATTAAGCTGAAATCATTAACAAGACTTTTCCTCCTGATGAGTTAGAGCTCACAGAGGGCTAAATGATGGAAGTCTGAACACAGATGACAGCAGGGAATCATTAAGTAGGTTGGCATGAAATTTTAAAGTGGTCCAAAGGCTCTAAAAAGGAAATGGGTTTGATTTTTCATTTTTACCTGTTTTATTATTACTTATCCTAAGCAACTTACACTTGTACACTTTTAAAGAGTTGGGTATTTTACTGAGACAAGATTCTTGTTCACAAAAGTACCCCAAACAGAACTTGAAACTTCAGTCTTCCATTTACCAAAAACACACAATTCCTAGTATATCTTTAGAACTACAATGTGGGGGAAAATATAAACATGTTTTTTTACCAGGTTGGTAAACCCTTAGCAAGCAAAAGTTGCCATTGATAAAGAAAGTCCTGAAGGTTCCTTTCTTTATGAACTTGCGATTAGAAATTCTGCTGCCTTCTTCTAAAGAATTTTAAAATATTGCAGCAGAAAGTTGATGAAAGATTAATCTTTTAACCACCACTTAAAAGATGACATTTAAATTGAGCTTTTGTAATAATGCTTTTAACTTTGCATAAAGAGTTCTAAACCAATAAACAAGGTACAAAATCAGCTACCACAATAGAATGATTATAAGAAGAATACAGCTAAACCTCAGTTCAAAGAACTAATAGGGAGGAAGGAGTGTCCATTATTGCCAAATGCTTGTTAAATTATGAATTATGCTTTTTCATAGCAAAGAAAAACTATTATATGAGAATATATATATACCATATTTATGCTTTCTGGAACTTTTGACTATTTTATAATTGCAATTAACACAGTCTATGAATATTGTTCCTGTGTCTTCTTTATCATAAATCTACAGTACAAGCTTGTGTGTCCTAACTACCACATATAAAATTTGTTAAAGCATATAAAACACCCATTTTAAACCACATGTCTACGTTTCTGCCTACATTTATATTCATGCCTTTTACATGTATTTTTTTACTGAAGTTTCTTCCATATTTCTCATTTCATTGTACTGTGCTTTTTTTGTCATAAATACATAAAGAATTGCATCATGTTACAAACACTTTCTTATTTAAACAATGTCAAACAATGTCAAACTGTGATGTAATCACAATTACTGTTCAGTGTATATTTTCACTGTATAATTTAACAATATTTCACAATAAATGTATTTTAGAACTCACTTATACTTTTATTATTTACCATAACGTGTGGCAAATCTAAGCAGTTTATGTGTATTTTTAGTGTTTCAAATGTGTTTTCAGACTTTTGTGGCTTTTTAATTGTACATTTTTTCCCCTCAAGGCCTAAAAGCATTTTCCAGGTGCTGTACTTCCAATGAAAACTGTAAAAGACCCTAAAAAAGGGTGTTTATTGAACATAAATCCAAAGGACTGGGTCTAAGACCTCAGGAATGTCTTCCCTTACCAGTGCCTGGCTGACGTTGCCCCCAGTGGCCAGTGACTTGAAGTGGCTACTGTTGTAGACAAGCTGCACCTCTGCAAGGTCCAGAGTTTCCAGTTCCTCCTGACTGGCCCTGTCAATCACATGTAGCTTCTCTGAGCTGTCCATCAGCACCAGCGTCCGAGAGTTAATCCACTATCAAGGAAAACACAGATAAAGATCCAGGAGGGCACTGTTATCCCCACTGCTATGTATTGAAAAGAAAAACTAGTATATTCAGCATTCCAGTCTTAACCCTAACATAACCATGCATTTACAAATACATGGATCTAAGTACATACTGTAAATTCAATTCCTGTACAATCTTTGTAGCACTGACATACAGGAGTTCTTGTGTGTTTTATAGATGAAGAAAGATGTCTGCCCTTTTTAATATTGGCTGTAATTTGTTGTGATACAAATACATAAATGATAATACATTAAGTTCCTTTTCTTTTTTCTTTACAGAAAACTATTACCTTTCTGTATAATAATAGCAAACTGAATATCTTAGACATTATGTACATTTTGTAAAATGATAGTCTGAGTAAACACAATCAATAAAAACCCTAGCAAGCAATGATTACCATGGTGCTACAATCTAACAGTGCACGATTCTTGATTGAGGGCAGTCAGAAGAGAATCTCAACAACCTCAGCAATACCAGTTAGGTCAATTAGTTGAAAAGAAACTCAATAAATTTCAGTCAATTCTAAAAATTTAACTTCTCATAGTTAGTGGTGTAATAAACTGTCTGTCTAACCTATGACTCCCTCTGCATGACAGCATTCCCAATTGTGGTAGGGAGGAAGATAAAGACGTTCTAAAATCATTAGCCCATTTCTAAGAAATGCAAAAGCATTATAAAATATGTAGCACAATCTGTGTACCTTTTAAGCCTGAGTGACCACCCATTCATTAAATACAAGATTCGATGCAGGTCTGACTTCCATTCGGCCTTAGCATGTCTATAACTCCATCCATAACTTAGACAAAAAAGTGGTTATGCTGTTCTAAAATTCTCAATGGTAATTTTTCTATTTATTGAAATGTGTTTTTTTAAGACAGAAAGACAGAAATGCCATCTGATTCACTGAGCACTCATCTCACACAGGTCAAAATGCATTACTTTTTTAGTTTTTGACATATCACTCCTTCTGCATTTTACCTGTTTTGATTTTCCAGCAACGTGGATTAATTAGAATTATCAAGTGAATGTTGACTCAGCTTACAACCCTGTGTTACGCATTATCCACAGCCAGTGAAGCTGATACTCACCATCTAGTTGATTAAAAAACAAATAACCAGATCTCTTTCCATTCCAACTGCATCTTATTATTGGACATGACACAATACGAATGCAGTTAATTGAAACAAGAGTTGGTTTTTCAATTCTTCTTAGGCTAAATCATGATGACATATGACCTATGCTGTCAGAACCTACAAAAGGAGTGACCCTCTGCCAAGATGAAAGTGCACCCTCAATTCAATCTTCAGAACAGATGAAGACAAATTAAAAGCCCCATTCCAAAAGACAAGTGAAACCATCTAGATCTAGACAGGAGCAATCTTAACATACCTTTAAACTGATCAGGTCATAGTTGAGGTGAAGCTGCTTCTGCTTTATGACATGGACAGCACCAGAGTCATCCTTTTTCACCTGAGGAAAACATGAAAAAAAATCACACATGTCCTTAAAGAAAAAGGAAACACTAAAACTGTTTATTTAATCTACGAGATGCATTATCTTACAATTCTGTGATCAAAAGACCAAGTCACATAACCATTACTGTGTAGAAATTATACGGATAAAATTGTTTGCAAAAGAGGGCTTTTTCCTATCCATGATCCTGGAAAAATTCTCTGTCAGGTTTCATTCCAAATTATATCAATTTAATTTTTCCAGGATCATCCTTAACTCTATTCTTCATTTCTTTTTCTTACACTCATTGTTATTCTCCTTAAAAAAATGTGAAAGTTTAAATATTGTCTCTGCTGTGATATTTAATAATCAGAATTGAACAAAAAAACCTTCAATAAATTTACAATTTACTTAATTAATAGTTTTTCTATTCTTAAACTGCTGGAAATTGCACAGTAATAGTAAAATATGTACATAATCATCAACCTGAAAATTGTCTAATCAAACAAACAATTAGTTTATTTCAAGCCTCACTGAAGTAACTGAGAGCTTAGTCTGAATGAAACCAACACATAAAGGAGGACCGCAGATCCAGGGATGAAAGCCTCTGCTTTAATTGCCACTTAGAATTCAGAGTTACATGTTTTTAACCCTTTAAGTACAACTACAAAAACACTGTCAGAAAGTAGACACATTCCTAACATGGTTGAGGTCCACTCAACCCCTCAGAGGGGCAAGGTAAATGACAATAGATACAAATGCACTCTGAATGAACACGATAATCCTATTGGTAAAACATTTCTATCTTGATGGGAGTGGAAATTTCCAGGATGTCAATGCCCCATCTACAGGGCAAGAGTGGTCACTGAATGGTTTGATGAACATGAAAACAATGTCAACTATATGCTGTCCCAGTCACCAGATCTCAAACCAGTTGAATACTAATGGGAGATTCTGGAGTAGCACCTGAGACAGTGTTTTCCACCTCCATCAACAAAACACCAGATGTTGGAATTTCTGGTGGAAGAGTGGTGTTATATCTCTTCAATAGTGCTCCAGACACTTGGAGGATCTATGCCAAAGGACACTGAAGCTGTTCTGACGCTCGTGGTGGCTGTTGTTTCCTTTATTTTGGCAGTTACCTGAATGTTTACTATATGCTATAGTAAAATGGCCTTTTCTCAGTAGAGCAGAAAGATTAAAGGTTGACAGTATTATATTCAACTAAATAAAGGTATTTAGTTTAATACAATTGTCTGATCATACCTATTCTAGGTATAGAGTGTTTAAGAAAGAAGTCAGTTCTTTTTTGTAGACACTCTAACTCTCATAACGACTTTAAGACCACTATACCAATACCACACAGATGAGCTCTAAAAAGGATAAAAACAACAGTCTGTGGCTGCTTCACTAATACTTGTACTTGACTTATACGTGTCATGTTTCACAATTAAAGACTGTTTCATTCAGCACAGCACTATTTGTTTTTAAAAACATGTCGGTATTTTGTAATATTTAAGACCTAAAAAAATAATGAAAGTCTTAATAAAAGATAACCTGATTAAAAGTATAACATAAAACATAATAAATATATATGGATTATTTAATGAACACTTAATTATTTAAGTTTTGTTGTGAGCTTTTTGGAAAGAACAGGTTTTTTTGGCTGTTCTCCCATGAAACTGTTCTCGTCCAGTCTTCCCCGATGACTGAGATGTGAACACTCCAATTCAACACAGAAACTGATGCCTGCAGGTCTTTTGTTAGCCTGGAATTCTTTATGACTTCCTGAATGATATTCTGGATTGCTCTTGAGGAAATCTTGACAGTCATAGTTAGACTCACTGTAGTCCTGAATATTTTCCATTTGTAGACTGTGAAGACTATGTTACTCACAGTGGTCTAGTGGGACCCCACATGTTTATGGTTTTGTTACCCTCTCTAAACAGATAAGCATCACATACTCTTTTCCTGAGGTTATCTATTGTCTCTTTTAACCATGGCATAATCTATTTCCAGTAACCTGTATGAAGACCAGATTCACTGAGTTTCTTGTCCTTGTTTATTTACTGAATTAACCACCTGATTTTTAACTGAGCTGCATAAGCCGGATGTGCTCTTATAATTTCTCATATACTGATTCCTATTTAGGGCATCATGTTGGCACAGTGCTTAGTATTGCTGCCTCTGCAGCACTGGGACCATAGGTTGAATTCCTGGGGTGCTATGCTTGTAGAGTTGGCATTTAGTTTAGTGTTCCTGTGTATGACATGTGATTGACCTTAATGTGGTGTCCCGTCCAAGGTGTATCCCCGGATTGCGCCTAAAACTTTCAGGATAGATTATGGACCACCACGACCCTGAATTGGATAAGCAGTTATTCAAAGTGATGATATGATTCCTATTTATATTCTTCAACTTTATACATCAATGCATCTAAAAAACCCAATGGTTTGATTAAACTAGGGTAATGTGGTAAGAATTGGTATATTCCATAATTATATTAGGGTTCTAGCCACTGTATACAGACGGCAATCTGCAATTGTAATTCCATAAACAAGATTCCTTAGCAAAATGACAATTAGTTTCACAGACAATACTACAAAATAAATTTATCAATCCATCACCAATAGCATACCTTTTAGCCACATCCATGGATTCCACAGAACCCAGTAAGAATAGTTAAAAGGGAAAAACTTACTAAAAGGAAATGGACAACATCTCCTCTGCAAAAGGCCAGCATGGGGTTTACGGTCTTCTGTATGGCAACAAATTGCCAGGCCAATTGGGGAACACTGGCTGGGTCCGTCTACATAAAAGAATACATAAAGAGAAACTGCAACTGAGAGAAGAGCTTTACCATTTCTAATTTAAGACTTTTTCTTCAGTCTAGTTACATCAAACTTGGCATGGCTAAAATTTAAATTTCAACTTTTCCTGTGTCCTTGTTTACCCATAGTTTACCAGTTTTAGTTTTAGAGTGAGCCTCCTTCACTTGTCTTTGTTTTAAAGCATACCGTAACCAAATAAAAAAAAGTTAATGTGAATTCAAAAGCTTAACTACACTGATGAGAAAAAGAGTGCCTAGCTTTTATGCTGCAGAGAACAAATGACATTATATTATTATAGCAAAACCCTCTCTGACAAAACTAATACTTATTAAATGATGCCTTTCTAGAAAAATAATAGAAGTGACATTCTACTTAATGGCACTCTAAATGCTAGACTCATAAAGCTTTCAAACTGAGTGCAGCTATTTCTATTGCTCTGTCACTTAATTTGAGATCCATAAGTGAATCCTCCCCCTCACCAGGATTGCCTGAAAAATGGTACAAAAGTATAAGGTGCTTCATAAATGGAATGTAAAAACTGTTTTTTCTAATTAAAACATAAAAAGATACATGTCATTAAACGTTCACTTAAAAGATTTACCACTAAAATATTTTTGTCTTATTGGTTTATTTTTTTTAAACAAATTCCTGGTTACCACCAAAAAGTGTACAAATGTAAATTCTACATTGCATCGGGTAAGATTTTCAGGATAATTTCACATTAAAAAATAAAAGACCAAAATTATATTATTTTATTATAATAAAAAGTTAACACATTCAGTTACAGCAGTATTGGCCTTAGTCAGTATTGGAGATTTCACTAAACTTCACCATGTAATTATTTTTGGCGTTTAAAAATATGTTTTCCTTTAAAATTCAAGAAGGACTAATTGTGTCTTAACTATATTCCATTGAAGCCAGATTAGTTTATTGCTCTCTGAGTACATGGTGATCTTTATCATTATTAACTGTGTATTTTTTAAAATACACCCATCCCTTGATTTCAGAAAACCCTCATTAAGAAATTGATTTATAATGAAGCATGTATTTTCATAACTGTTTCGTAACTGTTTTTCATGGTTTCAAATAATTTGTTTCTACAATTAAAATGAATTCCTCATATCTGATCATATCATTTATCCTCATAGCATTACCTCCCAATATATCATTCCACAACACTGTTTCTTAGTGCATCTGCACTGTGTTTTATACATTTTATCTTATCATTTTATCTTTTTAACTACTTTACTGCGATAGTCATGCAATCATGCAATAGTGTTCTTACTTTGATGATTCAGTGCTCTGTTAGGGTATAATAAGTAATATTGGATTATTTTCTAGAGCTTGAGAACAGATCTTAAGGTCTTATATGTAAAGGGAATTTCATTTTTGGTTGACAAATGTTCACTTTATGAACAGTTATTAAGTAACAAATCAAGGAATGGGTGTATAATAATTGTGAGTATTATACACTAAATACATCCCTTATCTGTTGAAAATAATACTCTTTTGGACAGCAAAAGCATACACACAAATAACATTTAGCAGTAAACTTAAGGACTGAAATGAGAATTAAACAGATACTGGGATTATGCCACGACTTGAAGGACTGATAAGCCAAAACATTTGGTTTATATCATTACATCAAGTTTTCACAAATGTTTGTTGAGAAACAGTTTGTACATACCTTTCCATATGGAAATGTCATCCATACTTTCAGAGATGGTTTAAGCCCAATGACTAAAATCTGAAAAAAAGTACACTGTGACAGTTTTTCTTTGTGCTTCAACTTTAAATCATTTGAAAAGAGAATTACAATATACAGTAATGGCACTCTCAGGGAGTCTACAGGTTCAAAAAGATTGTTAAAGCTACCAGTACATTTTCTAGCACATTCTGGTTAAAATTCCCAAACCATGTTTAAATAAATGGCATTAAGAATTTTTGGTATTCCTTATATATAGTATTAGATATGCCAAAAATGTACAAAAACTATAGCAGTAATAATATATTTCACAAGCAAATTGTAAATGCAGCTAGATTAAAAATTCAGTACTGAGTCACAGAAACCAGAAATAGTTTGAATTACCCATTATCTGCTATCTCAAACTATTATCTAGTATCTCTGGGAAAGCCAAGATTGCTGCTGGTAGAGGTAGGACCAGTACGGGCTCTCACAGCAAAGCAGTCTGTGTTGGGTCTAATGCCCCCCTATAATGACACTGACACTATACTGTAAAAAAGGCAGTGTCCTTCAAAAGAGAAGTAAAACCAATGTCCTGACTCTCCATGATCGTTAAAAATCCCTGGATGTTTCGCAAAAGAACAGGGGTGTTACCCCGGTATCCTGACCAACCATGGCCCCTATTAACCCCAATCTATGAATTGGCTTCATCACTCTGTTCTCCTCCCCACTCACAGCTGATGTGTAATGAGCATACTGGCACACTTTGGTTGCCATCGCATTATCCCCAGAGGGTGCTACACATTGGTGGTGGTGGAGGGGAGTCCCCATTATCTGTAAAGCGCTTTGAGAGGAGTGTCCAGAAAAGCCCTATAAGTGTCAGGAATATTATATGCTTCATAAAAACTTAATAAACATGAAAATTTCAAGCAAAATACATGCTGATTTACATGAGATCCCTCAAACCTACAGATTAGTCACTTCAATGAGAATTTCTCTCTCATTCCGAACATTACTAATAGGTAAAACACCAGGATAAGGATGCATGCTAAGCAAATAAATAGTAGTACCATCATACCAACAATGACAATGTCAATGTCACTGCCAGGTACCAATTCAACACTTGTGGCACTCCTGGTCTGAGAACAATTCCAGACCTCATGTAAGTATCAGGGGAGCCCTTGGCCTACATTGTGGACTACATTACCTTGGTGAGTGAGGCCATGGCCAACAGAGAGGACTGTGCAATTGGGTGGTCTCTGAGCTCCCCTCTGGTCTGTAGTGGCTCCACACAGCACACCTCCCCTTTGGAGCCACTGAACAGGCAGCGTGAATCACAAGTCCTCATACCCATCACCCTCCTGGACAACAAACAAATAGAAGCAGAAAAAAAGCAGAGTGAAATGGGTCTGCACAGTGTTACAACAGCAGAGGAGAACTCGGACCACTCAGTTCTAACTTACTGCAATGTAGGAGGTTTAGCAAAGTGAGCATAACAGAATTGAGCTCGAATACATTAAGGTCAAAGGCTACAGGAGCCACATTAATCAAAACTTTCAGTACTGGATTGTAGAGGAACATGTCCCTAAATCTACAGTCTCCTCAGTAAGGAAAATTAGGAGTACATTTCTGCAGAGGAATTTTACATTTCTGCTGGGGAAAGTAGAGTTATAAAGTTGTATTACTGCATTTTGGTAATTTACTCTTTTTTGTAATGGTTGCTGAGATACTGAAATTCAAAGCCAAAAAATTATCATAACAGCCCCGAACATTCAAAATTAATTTTACAGCTATGAGCAACAGGTCACTTTAGCCTTTTCAGAAGATAAAACAAAAAAATAAAAGTTGTGGTTAGAAATATCTATGCACAATATTTCCCACATCTAAATAAAAGTCAAATTTAAAACACAAATAAGTCAAGTTAAACATTCAAAATTGGTTGAAAGGACCTTTTGTATTAAACATAGACACGTCTTTTAAAGATGTGATGTAACATCTTAATCAATACACAATTAGAGTTAACTTTGTGTTGCAGTCACTAATAAATTAAAATCTGACAGCTCAAACTCAAACAAGTCAAAGCTTCTATCGAGAAAGATAAGAAGGCAGACGCTTAAACGTCTTATCAAAAGTTTATCACATAAATAGAGTCACTGCTCTATTACTCCAGGCTTTATTCTCACTTGGCTAGAGTCACTGTCATAGAATATTAAAGAATGGACAAAGACGTTAAAATCAATAATAAAACTGCAATTCTCATGACTACTCTAACAAAGTCACATAACAGAACACATTTACATCCTATATCTCATATTAAACAAGACTTTAAATTCCTATTCATAGATCTGCTGCAATGCTTCCAAATACAAAACAAATAGGAAAACTCAATAGACCATGAGTAGAAACATGTCTTTTCATATTGGATTCATATCTTAAGACAGTAACCAGCAGTGACTGCAGCAGTGAAGTGTGTCCAGTACAAAGAGCTTGTGTACATTTGTTTATTTCATACTGAGAATAAAGATGAGTGAAATATTTAAAAAGTACCTCTTTTTACCAATCATTGTTAATCAGTTCTAACATAAAAGTGACACAATAGACTCAAATGGGAAGCAGACAGGATGCCATAGTCAGGAAGCTCCTGAGGTCTTTTCAAACAACAGACTGAGCCAGTAAATGCATCCATTCAGAGAGCAGGTAGGCTCAGTAGCCCACACATTGATGATCTGAACCTACATCTGTATGGTGCTTGAAGAGTCTGCAAATTAGTTGTGCTCTGACATTGATGGATGTGTTTGACCAGGTCAGGGTGTTTTCACAACATACAACATTGTCAGCAAAAGCTGAATCTGATCTCTCCCTATAACGCACTAAATCTCCCACTTGTACCATGGGCTTGCACTGTAAAACTAAGTGGAAGGACATACAGTAAGTGCCTGTTTTGTAGGTTATGTGTACATTGTATTTTTCTGCACTAGTGCAAGAGGTGTATAGGCTCAGAATTGGCTTATTGAGTTTAGCTGTGTCTGTTTTAAATTTTTTTTAGACAAGCTCTGGATGCGAGCTCACAGGTGGACGATTCTGGTAGTATAGGAAATTATTCTTCGCAGTTCTAGTAAAGGGAGATGCAGAAGGGGAGTATGTGCTGATAAACTCCTGGGTGGGGCTGACAGGTGTTTGCCACCTAGCCGAATGAAGAATACCACATTGTTTGCAGTCTGAATTCTGCTTAGGATGCCCAATTTGCCAGGGCTCCACCACCAGAAGAATGTATTTCATAGCTCCATTCCAACAGAAAAAAAACAAAGGCTCCAGAGTAGACCACTGAATGTGCCACAGTTAGGGATGTAAGGTAACCAACAGACTGTGCACATTAACTGTACAGGCCTCGATAAGTAGAGAAATCCAGAGACATTAATACGTGTTGGGCAAAGTCGCCACTACATAAAATCACAAGTTATGGCAAAGGTGAGAATGCCATAGTGCAGGTGGTTAATTGCACCAACTAGGGTGAATCCAGGAATGTGCAGGTTCTTATCGCTGATTGAGTGCATTATCTTGAAGTACAGTCCATGTTGATGTTGTTGGGGATGTCACACTTACACTAGGTCGAATAAGGCCCTTGATATTTACTTTGAGAAGTCAGGGACTGCTCAAGTCAGAATTTGAAAAAGTCTGATGATCTGGTTTGGTATTCATGAATTGTTGAGTTTTATTTTAATTTCATTCGGCATACTAACTGAGCATACTAACATATGCTCATATATGCTGTATCAGAGAACATATACATAAACAGTATATCAAACTATAGTTTTATCTCTTGAAAAGATGATGTTTTTCTATTTTTTCAGAAATCTTTCTGTTGTTGATCCTACGCAGTCAGGCTTTTGCCATGCTTCATGGTTCACAGACCATGTCTATCAGAAAGGGAGTAGTAAATTGGAACTGCACAGTGCTCTACAATATTGTTCACACTGAGGCCTGGTGAGTGCCGATATACTATGATTCTCCTTCCCTCAAATTTGCCACAAGGACTCTTTTCAGAAGTTGTTTTTTTAGCTGCTTAACACTAGAACCCCTGGACTGTAGTGACACTTCTGAGCATATGAAGTTTTTAACTATCTGGAAAATACAGGGATGCAGTTACTGTACTTAGCTTACCAAATTTACATACTACATGGAGTGAGACATCATGAGACTTGGATCTGAAAAAACATTACATCTGAACTGCAAGAGTTGACTTGTTAATGAATTATTGCTTTTTTACCAGCAAGTTAGTGGAGTCGCCATGAGCACCAGAATGGGACCCAGCTATACCAATATTTTTGTTGGCTGGGTAGAAGAACACTTCTTCGCTTCCTACGCTGGCTTTGTTCCAGACCTTTACGTCAATACACTGATGACTGTGTAGGTGCCGCAACATGCTCTAATGACCAGCTAGAGCATTTTCTGTATCACTTCACCAATGTCCACTCGTCCCTCAAATATACATTTAACATATCCTCCGCTACTCTTCCGTTTTAAGACAAAAACCTGTCCATTAGCCATCCCCAACTCTCTACTTTGGTCTATTATAAACCCACAGATTTACACAGCTATCTTCTGTACAGCTCATTTTACCCCCAACACTAAAAACTCTCTCCCCTTTTCACAGTTACTTCGGCTATGACGACTCTGCAAAACCTGCTCTCTGACCCTTAGCTTCTCTCCCTGTCTGTGTATCCCATGGAGACAAAGTTGGGGTATGCGAAAAGACAAATTCCTAATACAAGTAAATTGTATATGGCCAATAAAGTGATCTTATTTTATCTTAAATGCCCAGTCATCTACAGTGGGGAAACAGGAAGAAGGCTCAGAGACCGCGTCAGAGAACATGAAAGGGCCGTGAAGATTAAAGATTTCTCCAAGCCCATAGTTTCTCATTTCACCTCTGATTATCACAAGATCACACTGATATCTCAGTCTGCATTCTCAAAGTAGGGGTTCTTAACTCCAATAGCAGAAAGACATTAAAACTAAAATTATCCTAAAACTTGCTTCACACCTTCCCCCTTCTCTCAAGGACAGACTTGTTTTCTTCTAATTCTCTATTCATTTGTAGGTTTCGTTTCACACCTCTCCTCACCTCTCTCGACCTCACACCACTTGATTGGCCACTCTGCCTCTCCCCTGCTCCTGCCTCCTCCTCTCTCCTAGCTTTTGTTTTCCCATGCTATATTATCTTTACTGACTGCCCTATCTTTCTTACACCCGAAGAAGGCTCCACAGCCGAAAAGTTGCGTTTTTAGTCTCTTTTATTACTTGTTCCAATCATGTATTATGCCCGAATAACACTGTTATGTCCATGGATGCCAGAGTTCACAGCCCTCAGTCTCATGGAAAACGGGAGCATTTTCATGTGGAGTTAAATACCTACTGGAGCTGATTGGACTCGCCTGGGACAACTTCCCTAACTAACATCCTCCAATTAACAAGTGCTAATTCCATCAAGTCCAGGATATTTAAATCCTGTTCTGCACCGATCCAGTACTCTGCCACTGAGCTACCTTCCGTACCAGGTAGTGCTCTCAGCACTAACTAACCTGCTTCTCAGACAGATATTCAGCCTGAAACCTGCCGGAAAGATTTCCCATCTGTTGTTGATTTCATTGATAAACTAGGCCAGTGATACAAATCTACCATTCTAGTCCCTTATCCCGCAAGGTCGACGCAGCCACTCCGCCTTAATCAGCCTTCAAGCTGTGTTTACCATCTTCACAGATCAGTCGCTTCTGCAACCACTTTCTGTCCTGCCTCAGCAATTCCCTGACAGTCCTCGTCACTGTCCTTTGGATTCATCAGCCTGGCCAAGGGATGCGGCTTTTTTCATCTGATAGGCGCATCATAACATACATTGTGTGTTGGATTTAGCACCCAACCCTATACACTTCTTATGGAATGGAAATGGAAAACATACTAGGTGGAGGTCTGTTGCAGTAATTTTAGTAATTTTAGTAAAAGAACATTTTAGAAAAGACGGTAGACTTATGCCACATGATGCAGCACTGATGTGGATTTTTACAGCATTAACAAAAAACTACTGCATATTTTTATCTTTGTATTTCTCTTACACAAAAAACCCTTGTGTCTTTTATAGATACAATTTATATTTAACTATTATTTTGAAAATGTAATGTATCTATTTAAATTACTTAAACCTTTTTTACAACTACTCTTTTTATAGAGGTACTCTATAAATAAACCCAATTTCTTTTCATATTTCTTTACATTACAAAACATGACAATGTTTTCATGGTGAAGTGCTTTATGTTATGTTTCCTCAGAATATTAGCTTGATTACAATTGTACTGTCGTGAGAATA